AAAAAAAAAAAAAAAAAAAAAAAAAAAAAAAAAAAAAAAAAAAAAAAAAAAAAAAAAAAAAAAAAAAAAAAAAAAGTAAAAAAGAGAAAGAAAGAAGAAAAACTACGCAATTCGTTTACGCTCTCAGCTACCAGAACAATATCCATACCAAAGCATCATGTCGACAGTCCCACACCTAAATACAAAACCAATTAGATCTGCAATGAACCTCCCCGGCCACAACACTTCCAAACACAACCTAATAGTTGAGAAATCCGCACTAAACTTCCTTCTCCCACTAGAAGACTCTCTAACTCAAACACCACAAACTTCACAAAAGAAAAGTAGTTGTAGAAAGAAAGAGAGCAGAGCGTCGAAGTCAGAGAAGCAGCAGAAGTGCAGGCAGAGAAAATTAGAGAGCAACAATCAAAAGAAATTGGTTGCAGAATCCGCCATTGTTGTCCGATCGAGCTCAGAAAATCGAAAGTGCCGTATGGAGTGCGAAACGGGGAAAATACCGGTGAGTTTATGCACCAAGCTTTTCTTTCTTTCTCTTGTGTTGCTGTGTTTCCCCTCACTTGAAGTCTACGTTCTCGTGTTGGGCCTTTTAGGTGGGTCAATATTAGTGGATAATCCCGATTTTGCCCCTTCATTTCTTGCACAAAAGGGCCTTGGTCCCCGCTGTCTTACAAAAATGCCCCTCCATTCTTCTTCATATTTTCGAATAGGGCTTTCTTTGGGGTCGTGGGGTAATGATTCCTTTGGCTTATCACTCCTCCTAACATCTCATCTTTTGAAGATGAAGGATTTTAAATTAGACCTACTCTCTTAACCGCCTTTTTAAGTCTCACCTTTTTTCTTTTTCTTTTTTTTTCTTTTTTTTCTAATTTTAAATATCTTTTATATATTTCCATAATTATTCTCCTTTTAAAAAAATCAACAAATTAATGAAAGAAGTCAGAAAATAAAATTGAAATCTCTGACCATTCCAAATATAGAGTTTATACTTTTTAGATATTTATTATTTTACCTATTCAACAACAGTTCTTTCATCATACCCTTCTTTATTTACACCACAATTCTAACTCAATTTAATTTTTTTAACTCAAAAATATTTGTAATAATATATTCCTAATTATTGAATTATAAAATAAATAAAGCTATATTATTTTGTTGTTTATAAATCTTCTATGTGACTTTTTAATTTTTTTTTTTAAACCAATAATTTGGAATCAAGCAACATGTAATAATAAAACATATATTCACGATAGCGCATATATTCACAATATCGCTATCCTTAATTTTACACAATTTGATATGACAAATATGAACAAATACTATAGTTTCTTCAATTTAATAATAAGTCTTTTGTTTGTTGGATGATGAAAGTCCCACATCGGCTAATTTAGGGAATGATCATGAGTTTATAAGTGAGGAATACTCACTTCATTGGTATGAGGAGGAATACTAACTCCATTGGTATGAGGCCTCTTTTGGGAAGCCCAAAGCAAAGCCATGAGAGCTCTCAAAGTGGACAATATCATACCATTATGGAGAGTCGTGTTCGTCTAACATTGTTCATGTATATTCTTTAGGTTAAGCTGAACTATGTTCAATTTAGATAGTTTATATCAAAATAATTCACTTGATTGTCATTTCTTAAACAAAATTTGATTTACGATTAACACAAATCAGCTTCATAGCTGGATTTTAAGTTTTGTTTCTTTCTTAAATCGTCTTTTTTTTTTCTTTTTTATTGACCAACAGGGTGTAGTCGTCAGTTTATTACTTTAAAATTCCGGTTTCAATGGCTTTAAGACGATTCTTGTAGAAAATCAGAGTCTGATTATTTGAAAGTCTACCATTTTCAGGTTTTAGATTGATACAGAAAGCATAGAGACGATAGGTGATATTGGTGTTGTGAAGGAAATCGAAAATGGCCGGAAAGATGAGCGACGCGAGCAGTAGCACAATTGGTGGTGCGGAGAGAGGGGAAAGCGTTGTTTATGACTGTAGAAGACGAAAATCTTCTTGTGGCTACTGCAAATCGGGTTCTCGTGGCAGCATCACTCACGGTCCGATTGATTTTTATTAAATTTCGCCAACTGTTTCTCTGTTACTTCTTCTGGCTCTTTCGTTTCATCGCCAGCTGCTTTGATTATTTGTTTATCTGTGAATTGGATTCTGTCAATTTGGTTTCGGATTTTCGCCTGTGAGATATGTTGGATAATTCTTTGATGCAAATTGCAAAATGTTTTCTGTTCTCTTATGGTTCTGAACTCTGTTTTGACGCATTTCTGCACCTTTTCTTTCGTATTGAGAGCTGTGATGGAATTTCAAGTTCATGTGATAGTTGTTAAGAACTCTGTATTGATTACCTGTTATTTTCTCATCTTTTCCATTGATTTTCGATAGGACTGAATGATACGTATGAATCGTAGTTTTTAATTGAGGGGAATGCCCACATTAGGCATTTAAAACATGAATAATCAAAATATTTCTTGGCTGATGCGTTCTTCTGTCATTCGTGGCTTGATCCTTTAGACAATGCTTATAAATTTCTATGCTGCAATTTGAGATTTTAGAAGCTGAAAATGATTATAGCATTCCTGATCATCATTTATGTTGGCTTTTATTATCTTGGTTTTTTTTTTTTTTCATGGCAGGTTTATGGGCAGATAATCTTACTGTTGATGACTACCAAGGTTTGTTTTCCTGGCTCTTCTTTCAGTCTTTCCAGGACTTCCTTTTCTCTCTGCAATCACAGTTCATGCTGCATTTTCAATTTTGTCTACAAAACTTTCATCATGCTTGCATATTTATCGATATATAGTATGGATGCTTGATCATTTTCTGAAACGGTTTCTGGCAATTTTATGTAATATGGGCTATATATTTTACTTGTTTCACAGATCTCCTTGATCGTGGCTGGAGAAGATCTGGCTGTTATCTCTACAAACCTGAGATGGAAAGGACATGTTGCCCTTCTTATACAATTCGTTTGAAGGCATCAGACTTTGTTCCATCTAAAGATCAATTACGAGTGTTTAGACGGTTTCAAAGGTATGGTTTTAAAAGATTTTGGTGTTTAATTTTCTATTTATGTTCCTGACAATCTAACCTTTGCTTTCAACATATTTTCTTGAGGTGAAAGATGTTGTCATTATCCACATTTGAATATACTTAATTACTGGAGCAAATTGATCACGGGGGAGTTTGATGAGTTAGAGCATGTTTGCGAGTGATTTTGGAATAACCAAAATTACTTTTGTCATGTCTAAAATAACAAAAAACTACAAAGGGCACGAATGAAGTGATTTTGGTCAATCTAAAATCACTCACTAACATGCCTTTAGTGGGTTCTAGTTATAGAAATGAAACTTTGTTCTACACTTTTTGTTCGATTGGACCTTAAAAAACAAATTCTTTACCTTATTTCAGTTGGTCCAATGGGAGTTGTTTCTGTAAACATTTCATTTCTTTGTCATTTTAAAATCAGACCTGGGAGGAAATACAATTGGATGCAGGCAAACCAGTTTAACATCTGATGTGTTTCTGTCTGTCTTTAGGTTTTTAGATGGAGAGTTGGAACAAGATAATCCAGTGGAGAACACAGAAGCTTCAAGTGCTTCCAAGAACTGTAGCTATGTACTTAATGGAGATTCTCACTCAGTAGAAAAGAACTCACTGTCCTTTAAAAATAAAGAAAACGAGGAAGGCCGCTTTATACTTCATCTGTCTGATCAGGTCGACGACGCCATAAGCTTATGCTCCGAAAAAGGTGATCTTCCCCGTAACATACAGTTTCCAAGAGCGTCTGTCAAAAGGGTTTCCCATGTAAAGAAGAAACTGCTGGTTCAAGGATCAAAGGATCTTGTATACTCCTGCAATGTTGCATTCCAATTGTCTGCCAGCATAAGGCGTGCCCAAGTTGGTGAGATGAAAGATGATAACTTATCATCATCAGCGAGTAACACAGCAGAAACTGGGTTTGTTCCTAAAATAATAGCTGAAAAGTTGGTAAATTACTTGAGCCAGATTGATGAGCTATCTGGTTTCTCAATCAAAGCATGCAATGGACATATTAACTTTTATTCTGATAAAGGAGAAGCTTCCTTTTCCTCCCCTAAGGATGCTGAAAGGGCCACCATTTCTCAAGAAACTGATAAAGCCAGAAGTAAAGATTCCCGTATGGAGAAGAAGTCTAAATGTTCTTCACAGAAGAAACGAAAGTTTGAGATACGCCTGAAAAGGTCCAGTTTTGATCCAGTAGAATACGCTTTGTATAGACGTTATCAACTTCATGTGCACAATGATACTCCAGAACGTATATCAGAAGCCTCATACAGGAATTTTTTAGTTGACACCCCCCTCAACTTTGTTCCCTCAACTGGTGATGGTACAGTTCCTCCCTGCGGTTTTGGTTCTTTTCACCAGCAATATTTGATTGATGGGAAGTTAGTTGCAGTTGGTGTTGTAGACATCCTTCCAAGATGTTTATCGAGTAAATATCTGTTCTGGGATCCTGACTATGCTTTCCTCTCTCTGGGCAAGTATTCAGCCCTACAAGAAATAAACTGGGTAAAACAAAATCAAACATATTGTGCCAGTCTTCAATATTATTATCTTGGTTACTATATTCACAACTGTGGAAAGATGAGATACAAAGCAACATATCGCCCATCGGAGCTTCTTTGTCCACTTCGTTACACGTAAGTGTTTCTCTGCAGGTGGGGAGTTATTGAGGCTGATTTCTTTACTTGAATGTGTGGGAATAAAATGAGTGTCTGTCCCAGGTAGCTTGAGTCAGTTTAGGGGTTTTATTTAATAATTCTTTGATTTCCATTTTCATGGCAATTGATATTAGGCAAAACCGAGAGTAATAGAAGCTAAGGTACTAGAAATTAGGAATCGTTAAGGGACTAGAAATTTATCCGATCATAAGAAACTTGTTTCTATCAATAAGATTGACCAGTCGCTTCAAATTTAACCCATGAGTTCTGTATCTCCTCAGGTGGGTTCCATTTGATGCTGCGAAGCCATTGCTGGATCAAAAGTCTTATGTAGTCTTATCAGATTTTTCACTCCAAAATAAGGAATCAGTACCACTTCAGGAGGTGCCGAATGATATGCAACTCAAACAAGATGATGATTTCCTGGAAGAACCAAACGATTCTATTATAGATGAGGATGAGGATGATGAAATCACCGAGGCATACTCCTATAGTTCAGATGACGATTTGGACCCAGAAAGCAGTGGTCTGGCCTCCTCTGAAAAGGAAGATGGAGATGTCACAAATATATTAATGGACATAGACGATTCCCGTGTGAGATATAAGGTATATACTATCATTTTGTTCTTAAGATTTCGTGCTGTGCTTCAATCCTTCACCTGCAAGTTCATGTTGGTAAAAAAAAAAAAAAAAAAAAAAAAAAAAAGAAGAAGAAGAAGAAACAATTTCCNGTTTTTTAATGCTTTTTTTTTTTTTTTTTTTTTTTTTTTTTTTTTTTTTTTTTTTTTTTTTTTTTTGTCTCTTTCTTACTTAACTTAAAGGACATACGACAAGCCATCCCCCCCTCTGGGCGAAGTTACTTGGAAAATCTGTTGCTAAGATACAAAAGAGTGGTTGGTAAAGAGCTCTCGGAAAGGATAGTTTATACCCTTCGGTGATCTGTAAATGGCATGCAACACTGCAGACTCCAATTCCTGAAGCTATCTCAGAGTTTTCGTTCAGGGCTCTCTCTGTTGCTGCTGATTGTTTATATAATTTTCTCTGCCAACTACGTTTGAAATTACATTACAGACTGTTAAGCATGTTAGGCCTTCCATTTTCATTTTTCCTGTCAAATGAGGACTGCTTTCTGAAGTCATGGCTTCAGTTATAAAAAGATAGAATGCAGTTGGGATAGTTTGGAATGTGTTACTTTTGTCATGCCTAAAATAATCCCCAAGAACTTCTTTTTTTTTTTTTTTTTTTTTTGCCATTTAATTGAATATGAAAGTTTTGTTTAACAGGGTTCAACAGTGTTCATGGGTGCATTAGTGGATGAATATATTCCTATTCAACAAGTTTCTACCATATATATTTTTATTATTTTTTCTTTTTTTTCCTTTTGAGTTTATTTCATATTTTAAATAATAAGTTTCCAATCAATTTTTTAAGGTTTCTAAATAAAAGCAAAACTTATGAGATTACCAGTTTCATTATGTTTTAATGTCTGTCGTATCATCACTACATTAATTCACTGGTATAAGCAAACTAATAAATTCAAAAGAACAAAGATTAGGGGCAAAAGAAGACCAAAACTTGAATGAAAAACATTCCATCCTGTTGCAAAGTTAAGGAATATCATCAAGTTAAAAGAAGAATCGCAATGAAATGTGTCCAGTTCGGTTACAAAGCAGCAAGCAAGTTTAGCTGTGCTGAAATGAGGAACTGATGAAGAACAATGAGTTGTTGAAGAATATGAACATTGGAAGAGCAGAATGTACAGTTTGGAATAATAAGGGGAGTAGGCATCATTATCATCATCATCATCAAGCTTCATCTGCATCACTTCCTCCACCATGTGCTACTTCATGACTTCGAGCATGGCTAACCCAATAACTGGTTCCACCAGGGCCTGACACCTTGAACCTGTTCATCAAACAACAAATGCTTATACGCCTAATTCTTTGTCCACTACTTCACTACCCATTGCAAGTTTTTTTCCACAAATTCTCAACTGCATGGGCATACTACTATATTAAGCTTTACTACTAATCTGCAGACCTCTCAGATACATATATGTAAGTATTCAATGTGATAATAGAACGTTCGAGAACGGTTATACTCGATAATGAGATCTTGTGCAATATGGAATAATTTGTGGTTATTTTGATGAAAAAGTCGTTTTCATTGAGATCAAATGAAAGAATACAAGGGGAATACAGAAATACCACCCCCAAGAGGAGTCGTCGAATGAGCCTAAAAAGGGCTCCAATCAAGCAAAATAAGTCCTACAAAGGGTGATTACAAAAAGCTTTATGAACAGAAATCTAGAGAGATGCATGAAATCTAATAAAGGACCCAACCTCACCCCAAGTTCTCTTCAAGCCCTGTTTCTTTCTTACCAAAGGACCCCATAAAATAGCACGAAAACAAAAACAAGCCAACCACAACAAACGACCTGGGTGGGGGTGGGGATGATGAAATTATTATACGTTAAAATGAAATTTGAAGTGATCTAACGAAAAAACGAGGGAAAAAAAGGATATATCTAGACTCAATAGTTCAAGATATGATTTTTAATTGGTCGTTGTAGCTCAAGCTACGATAATTTAACATCTAAAGTTCTGAGGTTGTTTACAGTAGTCTTGCAAATCAGTTCATCCTGAACAATTTTAGCAATGATATTATAAGCTAGGAGATGATTGGACACCTTACATGCGGCCAATTTCACCGACACGATAGGTATATTTGTATCTTTTCGATTATTGGACACATAACGAGATAACAAATCTATTGTCATTCATGCTCCTTCATGTAATATTTTTTTTCCAAAATGATTAACGAGGAGCTGATTCAAAGAACCTTATAATATCACTTTCCTAACTAGGATCAAGAAAGATGGTCTTTTCAGAGCAAGTTCATGTCTTTAAAGTAATGATTCAAAGCAAGTTCCTGTAAAATTACTTACCGCTCCAATACCGACTTCCCTTCTTTGTACTTCTGGTTCTTTTCAAAGGCAGTTTCCTGAAGTGAACGATCAAAGATCATAAAAAAGAAGAACATAACAGCATACAAACTTCTAAGCTTTTCTGCTTTATGATATCTTACGTATGTCCATCCCACAATTGATCCACAGCCCACGCAGAAGATATCAGCAACGGTATGCATCCCCGTCATCATCATTCTCGTTTCTTTCACTCCAACAGTGACATTCACTCTGTTTAAAAAACAAGTTTAGACTCAATTCTTAAAGAGAACATGAACAAATAAGTTAGAACTCCATTCAATTTTATCACCATATAAAAGACGGTGAACCTTCACTTCTAAAATGACGAACACATTCACTTGAATTATACAAAATACCAAAAACAATAGCGAAGGAAGAGCGGCAATGTATACAAAAGTTATGAATCAATAAGAGGAAAAGTACATCTTAAAAGGAGCAGTTAGGTAATGAAAAGAGGAGATTGAACAAGTTAGGATTTGAGCTTTATCCTGTTCTTTTAGTCTGTGATTGGAAAGAAAAAAAGGGGATTGGGGATCTTTAATGGAAACATTTGGCCAAATTACCACTATCATCCACGAAAACTTACACTTTATTGAAGAGGTAAGCTTTCCCATGTCTGCATTGGAAAGACTGAATAATAGAAACAAACACAGGAAACAATAAAGTCAGAACGCTTTTCTCCAATGACATTCCTAGAAATGTTTTAGTCTGAAAATGAATATTCAAAGGGTAGAGCCAACAAAGAGCCGCCATAGAAGCAACATATATACTCAATCAAATTTCTAATTAAATTTAGAGATCATCAAGTTAAGAAGAGCCCCTAACGACAACAACAACAACAGCAATTTCAACAGTCCAACACCATATTTTTGTTACCATATTAAAGGGTTAGTCAATATTCTCATCGCATCGGAAAATTTACGAAAAATTCAGAGAAACAATGAAATCAGGAATCAGAAATGAAGAGTTATTGTGAATGACAACCTTGGAAACGATGTCCTCATAAAGAGCAAGATGGGTCCGGCAGTGCTTGCAGCTATAGATCCTTCCTTCGAGGCTCACCACGAACAACCTCCCCATGACTACGAAATCTCATAAAAATAATCGAAAATGGAGAAATCGGAGATCAGAAACTGAGTAGCTCGAGATGAAGAAGAAGAAAAAGGGGAGGAAGAATGAAGTGAGAAGCAAGAAAGAAATGGAAGAAAAAGAGAATCAAAATGGAACTTTACCTGTGTTCTCAGTTGCAAGAAATATGCACACAGAAGAAGCTTGGCCATGTCTCGCCAACTATAAATACCACTTTCCCTGTGAAAGACGGTCCCTTCCCCTTAACCCAATGCCATGTGGATGCTAAATGCTAATGCAATCAACTTTTCCTCTTCCTTTTTTTTTCACTCCTAAATTATTATTATTTTTTTAAAAAAAATTTAATCTCTGAAATTCACCCAATTTTCAAAATTATTTTCTCATTCTATTTTTGGATCATTGTCTACTCCCATCCATTTCATCTCCCAAATCTTACAGCTACACTCCGCCATCGCTGTTAAGCCCATCATGCGACCATTTTGAGAAGCGAAGTCCATGAAGCTGACTGCCGGCGGCGGTGGGCGGCGCTGACTGTGAACTGTTAAGGAATTAGCGACCGAAAGGCATCGTCGTTTTGAGGCTTTGTTGAAGCAGGAAGTGAGCAGTGGCCCAAAGATCCGAATCCTCCCAAGGCAAAAAGAAAAAAAAAACAAATCTACAATATTTATAAATATATATTTTAGAAAAGTACTGTTAAATTTTAATTGAATAGCAAACTTAGCGCATTTAAAGAAAGTTATGTTATGATTAAGATTTTATAAAATTTATAATTAAAAAATGGATACCTACATGCCCAACTATTTAATAGCTTAAAAACAAAGATAATTGCGCATGATTTGTTTATTGATCGGGAAAAGATACCTTTTCTATTTGTTTTTTTTTAAACAATGATACCCTTTGTGGTTGCCTTTATGGAAACATGTGTTAATTTATGAATTTAGTTTATTATCAAACATTAAACTTTAAATAATTCAGTTCCTAAACTCTTAATTTTTTAATTTCATGAATTTACTAATCATAAAATTAAAATTTGACGATATTAAATCAACAAATCTTAAAAAACTAAACTTTTATTTATCCTAATTGGTTTCTTAAATTATTTTAACATATTAGATATTCTATTTTATTTGGCAACTTAATAAAACATTATTACAATATTATACTTTATATACAGAGGATTGAGGGCAGTAATTTATTGACTATTGAATCCTAATCATGATGTATTTTTTGAGTTTCATGCATCATAATGGAAATAAACTAAAATGGAATTTGGGGGGAAACCAAGTTTTGGGTTGCTACCAATGCACAACTGAGGCTATAAATGAAAAGGGACTAGCATTAAAAATTTGAGATGGCTTCTTCGGTAAAGGGGAAGGGGAATGGTAAGCAGACCAGCAACCCTAAAAGCAAAACTAGAATGCCAAGACCAACATACTTCTGATCAGGATCAGTGATTTCATCAGAAAGTGGAGCGATTGGACCCCTCTGTAGGAAGAATATCAAAGCCACCCAATAAAATGCTACATCACTAAACAGAGAGGCTAGTCCTAGAAGAACAATTGAGAGGCCTGTAATTCGAGCTGATGCCTGTTTTAAATGAGAATTTGATCAGAAAAATTCGTTTTTTAGAGGGATGAAATTGTTATATAGTTCATCATTACTATTTCTAAGGGAGACTATTTGGGAACTAGATTCCAGGTGGCCGTGATGGATGTGTTAAGCATATTAGAGGAAGATGCAGCAAGTGAACTTAAAACAACGAACCTTTCTCCCCCATATTGAGAAGGCAATTCTTCCACCATCGAGCTCTCCGGCAGGGATGCTGTTGATGGCATTTATGAGAAGTCCAGCCCAAGCCCATATCACAAGAGGGTTCACGGATATAGGAGTTCCTTCCTTGAGGGCATCGCCCAAAAGTAGCTTTGCTGAGAAATGGATAGTATAGCATGAATGTTAAATGTCTACTACACAAACCAGAGGGCAGATTAAAAAAATCAAGCAATTGCTAATGTGCTGAGGCGGATGATGCCTTTGAAAGGGTCAGCCAATTCGGTTACTGGTTAAAGGGAAACTGGAGAAGCGACATGATCAGTTTAGAATGATTTTCCACCGACATTTTGAACTTTGAAGACGTGAAAGCGTCAAGTCACGAGTAAAGATTCAACGTATAAAAGAAAAGATGATTACCAAGGCCACCGGCAAGAAATGACTCATGAAACACAGACGAATCAACGATAACTCCAATGCCATCACTAGGTGGCAAGATGAAACCTATAATGAAAAGAAGGAAGCCCACAGAAAATCCAGCTAATGGTCCTGCTACTGCCACCTTCAGCAGATCTTCGCGCTTGGGTACAATATTTAGGATCCGTGTGATTGCACCAAAGGAGCCTATCTGCCACCAAAAAAAGTTCATTAGATTCGAGTATATATTGGCAGACACTGAACGGAGAGAACACGACTGAAATCCGCTGGTAACAAATTGGAAAGCGTAGTTGAATCGAGGGTATTGACACAAGGCAATATTCTAATAAACCAGTAGTTTAGTTCTACCTGAACACATATTTTTCAAGCAAAAGCAAAAGAGAAATACTACAAAAAGCATGTCGAACAATAAAACCATCCGTATGCCAGTCAATGACAAGATTGCCTCATGCAGGAAGATTGATTTGCTGTATGGTTAGATAAAACATTTCGTAAACAGCAAAATATTGGTGAATCGTTTTATGATCAAAGAACACTTAAGAGAAAACTGCATATTACCTGCCAACTAGGAACAAAGTATGGAATCCCAAACTTAACTCTATTTCCTGCAGCTAATATATGGCCGAGTTCATGCACTCCTAACACAAGTGCAGTTACTAAGGCACCAGATAGTCCATCTTTAAGCAAGTCAAGATTATCAAAAGTCGATCTGCCACAAAAAATAATAGATTAATAAATTCAAATGAGTACCTTAAAAATGAAAGCAAATGCTGACTGGCAACAATATGTCAAGAAGCAGCAACAAAGTCCTTCACAAGTTGATATAATTTTTCTCTAAAAGACATGAAAAAACATTGTACAATAGAAGCAGAGCATATTCACAAAAGAGAGTAAAAATTTATAAGAACTGAAATTTTCATTTATTTAACAGAAGACAATACTGAAAGTTCAATTGTTCATTGGACCAAGGGAGAGAAGATCAATTCATGCGCAAGACATAAAGGAAAAATCGCATACAGTAAGTTGGATTGCAATGCGGGGACATTTCGGAGAAGTAGAGTAAATACAGTAACCAGTCCAAACGCGGCGGCAGCAAACCATTCTGGGACAGCTGCAATTTTTAACTTTAATGTAAACATCATCATTCTCTCGAATTTTCAACTTCCACAAGGGTAAATAGCATCAATCACAAACCAAATGTTTACCTGTTGTCTCTGGTTGTAAGGTCTTTCTTGGAACAACAACAGCTACAGGTTTATCATCCTCTGGATTAATTAAAAGAAAAAGCATATATACATCCCCAAAGTTATCCTGTATAGTTCCCAAAATATTACGTAAGCAATTAATTACTTAGGAACATTTAAAAATAAGCAAAAAACAACAAATGCAGACAGAGATACCTGCATTCTCTTTGTTATCTTTTCATAGCTCTTAGCAGCCTCTCCTCGCAGATTTCCTTTAAACAACACTCCACCCTAGTGGAAGTAACAAAAAATCTATTAACGAAGTTTATATATCAAACGGCAAGGACAATCATATCCGGCCATCGGGTCATTTTGTCCACTCTCTATATTAGGTAGTTTCAAACATTCCTTCTTTTAGTTTTTCACATGTAATGACACACAGAATATTGGCAACAACTTTTTCTAGAGGTTAAGTTTGTTTATAGAATTTTTACGTGCAAAAAATTATTTTAATATCATTATTTAGAAAACTTTCATAAATGTTCAAGCTAGTTATGCTGTAATTGGCACACTGGAAAATATGTTGCCTACTATAGTTTACTAAAGATTTCTTTTATATTAGATAACTATTTTGTTTAAAAAATGATAACATAAAATTTTAAAATTGTTTTTGAATCACTTTTACATAAATATAGGTCTTAATTATCATTATACACTTTAAAACACTAATGACTAAATATATTGATATTATATCAACAAATATATTATTAGGTTTTAAATAAAGACATCTGCACATAATTCAAATGATAGGTAATTAATTATTCTTCAAATTAAGTCAAACTTGCTCCATTACACAGCCCAACCCCCACTTTCATATTAATTATAAAAACTCAAGGAAAAGTATATGAAATATATATATATATATATATATATACGAAAAAAAAAAACAAACCATCAACAAAAAGAATACTTTATGACCAACTCACCTCATATGGGTCCTGGCTTGTCACAAAAAAAGTATCAAATCCAAACACTTGATTCTTAAGAATTTCGATTGTTTCTCGGGGAATCCTGAATGATTCATCCAATTGTTGTGTCTGCTTGAAATTTTATCAAATAAATAACAGATGAGGAACGGAGCATGAAAATTTTCCTGTCATTCTGTTGCCAAAAAAAAAAAAAAAAAAAAAAAAAAAAAAAAAAAAAAAAAAAAAAAAAAAAAAAA